TCCTGATACGCAATGTTGTGTAGCTCTGTGCTTCACTTTCAAACTATGTGAGTTCACACCCCCTTAAGCTTTATTTCAAATTTGGTTTCGGTGGGACTGCAAGTGAAACCCATTTGAATCTGCCAACTTTCATCAAGTACTGTGTCAAGCCTACAGGTTTTGCATGATTTTGATGCATAACCATAAATCAGCCCAGGTGTGCTGAAAATGCTTTAGCATACCTTTTGATGATCTTGGTCTTACACTTGAGTTTGTAAAAAAAATACAAGACAAGGGAACTTTGCAGTTTTTAAATTGTGGATGATAAGTACAGCTATCACAGTAGTGTAGACTAGGGACATACGTGACCTGTCATTAAATGGCAATTCATCTGCTGACGGTTCGATGTCTGCAGTGTGCTGTCTTTTCTGCTGAAGATCTGGTGAAAAAATAGCTCAAAGTAAAAAGTTTTCTCAAAGTTCAGAAACATTTCACCAGGGAATATTTATGAATTTTCAAAACTTTTTCCCCAGCTGTATGAACCAGAGCTAAACATATAATTGATTTATTTTTTGGAGTGTTAAGTAAATATGTTTCCCATAAAGGGAGTTTTCTGGCAATAGAAATACTTCTGGAGCTGCCTTGGTGTTATGTGCTTGCGTCTATGTCGTTAAGACTAGTGCGCGGCTGGTTTCGCAGCATGTCCTTATAGCTCCAAATGGAGTAATATACCTTACATACATTAGTCCAGAGAAAACAGAGTAAATCAAATAAGTTAGCGAGGCATATTTCTGCCGACCAAATGTTTTCGGTTTAGGAAAACGAATATGGACATGCCAGGTTTAAAAGTTAGAGTGAAATCTTTTTTTGAGCTATTTGAGCACAAAAGAAACTACATTTTTTTTAGAGAGCAGAACCTGCTTTCTCTTCATGCTCTCATGATTCAGCAGTTGTTTCAGTGAATTTGTACTGACTTAATCCACAGTCCCTTATATGTGTAGCGAGCAGAAATATAGACCACCCTATTAAAAAGAAATTATCTGGAAAAGTTAAGTCTTTTACCATAGTATTTTAAAATACCCTTTCCAGAATGTTGCGGAAGTGGTGAAATACGAGTATGTGGCATTATTCAATAGTGAAATTGTTGAAGTGTGCTGAGCTGCGCATGTTATTGTAGATTGCACTGTAGGGTCGGTAGGTGTATGACTCTGAATGCCTTTGTCAGAATTAGTCAGTAATTTACGATGGGGAGATGAAATTAGCGGTCTGAAACCAAATATTGTTTACTGATGACTCACTGACAGAGAGACAGAATGCTATAGTGTAGTCAAGTGAACAGTATGGTAGACAGCTGCGGATTTGGTTAAGGCGGTAATTGGCATTTGTGAGCTGATATGTGTGATTGGGTTGGATAATACCCTGCCAGATTTCGGCAGTGTTACACTTCACTATAGCGTGCCGGTGGGGAGCTTTCAGGCTCCTCACATGACTTCAGCCAGCCATGAGTCAGGATGTTTTTCTTCTGTGCTACAATAAAAAGCGTTCAATTAAAGCACAGGGTGGGTATTCTTAAGGGGAGGAAGGCAAATTACATTTCTCAACATCGCCCACTGCAAGTTGGAGCTTTTAGAGTATTAATGTTTGATGATAAGTAACATCAAGGTAGAGTAGTTGTGAGGAAGGTAAAAATAGTCCACAGTTAGAGAAGAGGTTTTATTTCAAACGTCCCTCTGAATTAAACAAGAGAACAACTTCCCCCTGAAGTGTACAGCCACAGTCATCGCACTTCTCTCTGTGCTGTGAGGTACTTGCAAAGACTTAACCTAAAAAAGACTCGGTAAGCAAGTAAGGAAGCATAAGAGGACCTAATAAGGTCCTTAAGAGGACCTTATAACCTCTTAAGGTTATAAGAGGACCTGACCTGCTTGTGGTAAATTACACCTGTACAGTCGTTTTGCAGGGATTTCCCACTGTGTGAAATTTTCTCTATTGTCCAGCCTTGTACAAAATGGGTAGTATACAAACCTAATGCATGGCAGTTACTATTTTTAGTTAATTGCAGTTGCACTTGGTCAGAATTTCTTCAGGTCCCTACAGTTATAGGAAGTCCATATATATTTTTTTCAGTTCCTTTCGAGTCACAAATCATTAACCAGGAAGAGCCTATAACCAGCACAGGATAAAGAGGGGAACTTCCTCCCTCCTTTTTAAGGGCTGCAGTAAAAAAAAGACGAGGGAGAAAAGATTGTGAATTCATGTTACTTCTTCGTCCCAGATGTCCCTTTGTTTTATTCTCTAACGGACCAACAGCACTGACTTCTATAGGCTATGTTCATACTCAGTCTGGTGTAAATTGTGGTAGCTTCGCTGGCCTTGGTAGAGCCGAGCTGTTGTACGCTGGCTGAGGTTTACCACAGCATGTAAATACACAGATATCTTTCTACACAGTGCTGTAAGTTGTGTCAGAGTTTTGTAGCTTCTCGTAGTGGTAAGTTCTGGTTAAATGTTTTTTTGATTAAAATTGCAATGTCAAATTTGGATATGTGATAAATCTGTTTGATTAACTGATGGGGCTGGATTATGGTAGTGCATGTCAGAGCTCTGTTGATGACTTAATCTTTAGCTAGTAAAAAGTAGTTGCTCATTTTCTTTCCCTCTTTTACTTTTCTGATTCACTTCTCCCTCTCTGCTTCTCTGTCCATTTTCCTTGATTCCTGCTCTTCTGCATTTCTCGGTCTCCTGGTCTCACCAGAGTGCCCATTGGTTGAACACTGAGGAGAGCGTGAGGAAGATGTCTCTGATACCTCTTGCATAACTCTCTTTTAGCTGATGATGAGGCCCAAGTGGTAGATAAGATGAAACTTAATTCTTCTTCAGGGTAGATCTAGAGACAGTAAGATTATCTTCTTACAGAACTCTCAAATGGAAGGGTTGAGAGTCTTTAATAGACTACTTCATAGTTTTTACTTAGCAAAATAAATGAATTAACCAGCAGACAAACAAAACAAGGATTAATAAGCCCCAAGAGATTCAATCAGATTGATTTTAAAAAGTCCAAGGAAGGGCAGAAAATATGTAGGAAATTATTACCCTATAATGGGTACGCCATGCTAATCTTATCCAAAGCCCTGAAGAGCAGTCACTGCATATGATGCTGTGATAATGTATTTTGTCCAGTGTCACTTGTTGTCTTTTTACTTGCTGTCCTTTTTCTCAAGGGACAGTGAATCCTATTAGGAGAAACTTTTTGCTTTTTCTTGTACTTGGCAAGACCATACCCCAGAGGGTATGCAGCTTGCAGCTTGGAGGCAAGCTCAGCCTAGCTCTTGGGTTCTCAAGCTTCTTTTGGGATGCAGGCACGCAAAGGAGTTCTCTAAAACATCCATTTAGGTAGATTTGCTGCCTTTGGGAGAGCAGTACACCGTCTTCCTCTCCAATTCACCAAATTCTATTTAAATACACAGAACACTTAAAGTGAAAACAAGTTTTATTCTAGCAAAAGAAAGACTTCATCTGCTTAGAGAAACTTATTGTGTTGTGGCTTTGATTCATTCTGGGTTTTTATAAGAATACAGGTGAATCTCAGTTTTTGTCTGTGACTGGATTATCTTTTGAAATGCATGGACTCTTTGGCAAGGTGTTTCCCACACCACGCTTGCTTTTCTACTGAGAAAGTCAGTTAATTGCAGTTTCTTCTGATTCTTCCTTCCTAGCCAGCATGCTTTGAAACTGTGAAACTTTCTTCTGGCTGCAGAAGAGGTAACAGGTTCTCTGTCATCCCACGTATGATCTGTACAACGTTCTAATTTGTAACCTGAGGGATGTCTTTGGTCGTTCATAGAATAAGAATTCAACCAACTAGCTAGCGTTCCTGCGTCTTCTCAGGGTTCAGCCGATGGCAGGAGTTCATGGTATGTGAGAGGACTCAGCGCTTTAGTCTCTTATGACAGCTTCTGTTCTTTTTATTTCCACTTGTGTATGTAATATAATGAGGTGTAGCCTCCCTTTCCTCTATTTTCCAATTGCTCCAAATAAAACTACCACTACTTTGGAACAAGGAGCAAATCAGTTTGACGAACGATTAAATTAACAACAGCATGAGGGAAATAAGGCCAGGGGAGCTCCCAAAACTCAGCTGTTCCTCCTCCAGCCCCATCCCACAAACTACCAGTTGAATGATGGGGGGTACTTTAAGGGGTACTTTTGCTCTGCAGATGCTCCAGCTAGATTTCAGTGTTCATTGCAGTAGGTCAGCAACCACTGCTGGCTTTTAGAATTTACTGCTGACCTCTGAACGGTCAAAGCTATGGAAGGAGCGCTTTCATACTTTGTTTTCTGTCTTGTGTTTTCAACAGTTACATTGCAAACCAGCGGAAATTAGAAAGTATCAATGACAATGAAGTTGGATTTTATGTTGGACTTAAAAATCTGTGAGTATATGGGATAATTATTTTGTAGTGTTAATATTTGTTTATTTCTAGCAGATACTGACCTAATCAGAGAGTAAGCCTAACTTTGTGTGTTATGGAAGGTAGCTGTAGGGCTTGCAGCTCAGCCTAGTTAAGACTTCATACACATTCTTATTTTAATCATTTTTATTATTACAATTCCATTATATTTTAAATGAACAATTCTAACGATTTTATGTATTTTTACAGAACGGTGGTGGATTCAGGCTTACGGTTTGTGTCCCGTCAGGCATTTGTGAAAAATGTCAACCTACAATACATGTGAGTAAACACAGTTTCTGTGTTTTGAGTTAAAACTGCCCAAACCTTCTTAAAACCCTTCTCTTTCTTCCTATTTCCTTAATTTAAAATGCTGTAATGGTACAGGCTTGGAATGACCCCTTGTAATTAGTGGTCTTGAAATAGGACATGTGTGATGAGGATTTGGCAGATCATAAGAATGTAACATGAGATGGCAGAAAGATCATCCAGCTCGTTTTCTCTGGATGATGGACAGCTCTAAAAGTGGTCTCTGGCTGTCCCTCCTTTATTAAGGAGTATGTCTTCTGAGCAAGTCAGTTGGTGCCGAGTATGATGTCCATACTGTGTGTATCACATGTGGTGTCATGGGTTTGATGTTGGACAAGCTGTATTCTGATTCAACGGACGGAACGTGTTTTAGCAGCTAGAGTGCCTGCCTTTTAGTGCTGTTTTAGCAGATTGTACGCCCTGAGACTGTGCCATGATGAGGTCTTGTAAGAGAGGATGAGCAGAAGATTTGCTTCAGAAGTTTGCTCCTGTTCTGAATTAAAATGCTAACATAGATGCACCCAATAACCTGCAATTTGCAGTTTATGAACATCAGGAGACAGAGTCGTTGCCTGTGCAACTTCTTGACTATGTTTTTCTAGATTATTTGCACTTTAGATTTAGCAAAGGCTGAACTGACCAGAGTTCTTTATAAAAGAAGAGAAAAGTGATCAGCTGAGTACATATCCCTGAAGGAGTGGAGTGCTTTCAGAGGGATGGACCCTCCTGCTTCTTACATAGAAAATTGTGGTCACAGTTCTACAAAATGTTCACATCATGTGTGGGGCTCAGCCCCTCACAGATGCTCTATTTTAGCCAAGTTTTCAAGTGTACATTTAAGTCCGTCCATCTTTGATAGTGTGTTTAGCACTTACTTAACCCCTTGCTTTTGTTAAACTCCTAGTGAGATCAAGGAGACATAAGCCCAAGCCTCAGGCTTGTAAGGTGCCTGTAATGCTTTCTTGTAATATGGAAGAATTGCTGCATTGGGCTCAGGGCTGATTGCTTTGTTAATTAAATTGACTTCCTTTCAGCACATGTGTTTTCCAAAGAATAGAAATTAATTTATGTGAAGAAGTGGACGTGAGTATCAGAATTTGCCTACATGGTAATCGCTATCCTTAATACGGAGCAAACACTGGAGGAGCATGAACAAGATCTTGCCAACAACCTATGAGGGTTACATATTTCCTCATACACTCGTTAATAAAGTAAATTGCTTTTACTATAATCAGTTGGAGAATATGGGAAGTATCTTCTAGAGCATGTTCGTGTGTCTATCTGTGTGACAATTGGTCAGTGAATTATGATGGTATAAGATGAAATTCCATGAAGACAAGTGCATATGCACTCCCTATGGAAATGCACAGTGAAAAATTATTGGCTAAGTGGCACAATCACAGAGAAGGATTTAGTAGCTATAGTGAGAGAGAATCTCATCATGATGTAGCAGAACAAAGCAAGTTCAGTCTGAGATCAAAAGGAATTTTCTGTTACAAGTTTGCATCTTTTCACCTTTACTTTAGGTGCTGGGAAGGCGTGTATCAGAATGCTGTGTACAGATTAGGACAATGAAGCTACCCATGTAGAAAGATATTACAGAGAAAAGCAGCAGAACTATGAGGAGTTTGGAAAGCAAATTGTTTAAGTAAACACTGAGAAGGCTGAGTTAGTTCAGTCTAGCAGAAAGAAAAGACTGAAAAGGGATGTACAGCAATAGCTCTTTAAAAGGAGAGCCAGTTTTCTCCATGACCACAAAGACAGGATGAGAAATAATCAGTTTAATTTTCAGCAAGGAAGATAGATACTTGGAACACCTTAGTAGCTGTATGGGCAAGTAGACACTGCGCGAAAAGTAAGCTGAGGAGGTTGATGTGATCTTCACAGGCTTTGTTGCTGGTTTCTTAAGGAAATGAGTCTCATGCTGTCACAGAGGCTCTCTGTTCCCAGTGGTTGTTTCTGACCTAGACTGATGTAGGTGAAGATGTTTTGTGAAAATACAGAACGGAGACAGAACGGAGAAACCCTATAAATGTTTCCATTTAGGGGGAAAATACCATTGTGCACATACGTTCTTTGGGTGTTAGAGAATCCTTGTGGACACGATGTCTTTAAAATACCTCAGCTGCAGGAAAAGTTTCAACCAGAGCTCATCATCAAACATGAAATACGCATCTTTTGATAAGCAGGCTTTATTAGATCTCGAGTTTGTGAAACTACTTGTTAGAAATGAATTAGGCTAATTGATCTCTGCCAGCTTCATGCATATGTGATCCTGACTCAGAAAATGGGAATATAAGAGGGATCTGGTACTACGATTTTTTTAGTGAGGAATTAGTAGTGTTAGCAGATGCAGGATAAGCCCAGATCAGGCTGAAAATAAAAACTGGCAATAGTCGCCTGCTCCATGTACATGTGACAAAGCAGTTAGCATAGAGATGTGTTTTGGCTTGGCTGATCTATTATCCTTGCGAAAAAATGCATTTGCTTGTTTTCTCTGGGAAGTCCTGATGCATGCTAAAATGCCCAGTGAATCAATGCTTGTTGTCATCAGCAATAAGACTCCTGTTGACTGCACTGGGAATGAAATGCAGCCCCTGTTCTGGTTGGGACAGAGAAAACTGTTAAAAGGTGAAATCATTTCACTTTGCTGGAGTACAGGTCTTCGAGAAGTCTTGTGTTGTATTTTAAAACAACAGTTTGTCATTGTTTCAAAAAGAAAACCTAAACTTCACCTTTCTGAAAACTGATGTAACTGTATGAGCTTTCATTTTGCTAGTGATACTATTATGGTTTTCTCACATTAAAAGTCTTTGGATGTTGTTAAGAAGCTTTATTATAAGAATACAGCATTTATTTGCTGAATCGTGTAAGAATATCAGATTATAAGGAATTTATTAACATACAATTCTTTAAGCCTTTTCTTTGTCATTACTTAGTTTTCTTGGCCAAAGTTCTGTAGCCCAAGTTATCTTTCTAGAGTTGATGTATGATGACAAGAGTTGAGTAATAATATAAACAACAGAAAGAGAAATACTCTAATAGATAACACTTTAAGTAATTAATACTCCTGCTCATCTAATTCTGGTACTCTCATTGACCTTAGACTCAAATTAGTCAACAGTCACATTTAACAAGCTATTAAACAGTCCTAGTTTAGTAGTGCTGTTATTTATAAGCTTATCTGCTGCTAACAATAATTTTAATGGGCCTGTTTAATACGCATGCATGGTATTCTGTCAATACCTTTAAATACAGAAATAAATTTCACAGCAAGTACCTATTTCCCAAAACATTACAAAATAGCTATTGTCATGTGCCAGGCAGTATGTAATTGCATCGCTGAATCATAGAGCTGCATACGCTCCATACTTACAGCTCTGAGTCTTAGAATGTGTTTGTATCTCTAGGGCTGATCAGGTTTAAAAAAAGCCAAATTGAACCATTTGAGACCCAGCTGTAGATTTTTCCCTTGCGTGCACACAGGCAGTACAGGGCTAGCTCAGGCAGTAGTGAGAGTAGGCAGTTGCCTATGGAGGAGACTAAGTGTAGCAAAATGACATTGCCATTTCTTCACCTCTTCCCCCCAGGCCTCCTCGCTTCTGCTCCCTCCCCTTCCTCCTTGCCTTCCTCCTTGCCAGAAGTGGTACGGACAGTATCGCGGCACAGTGATGTTGCAGTGTAAATATGAATATTTATGCAGCTTCTCTGGCCACACTTGTGCTCCCCACATGGCTACAGCTATGCTCGTAATTGCATTTGAGCTAGCTTAAAGTGAGCTTGATATTCATACATAAAATACAGCTCTGCTTTTGACTGCATTTTGGTCCTATCATTTGGTATAGCGCTGGAGCCAGGCTCTGTACTCCAGACTTTTCTAAAAAGGCTTTTGAACCCCAGATAGATCTTCTTTGGGCTGCTCACCACAATTTGTGTGTATGTGTGTTTGTAATTGAATTGAGGAACTAATTTATATGCTCTCTCCGTATAAGTGGAAATGTGGTCCTTACCTACTCCCTAAAAAGCCTGTTAGTGTTTTTTTTTTTTTTTCACTTAACATGGGGTTAAAGACACCAAAGCAAGCATATCTATAATCAATACAAAGTGCTCAGCTTATGAAAAATATATAGAACAGTAAATATACTGACAAAGTATAGTTTATGATGCTAAATCTGTAACAAGGGGCTGAAAAATGTCATTTGAATTACTCGTCAACTTGGAAAACCTTAAGGCTGTGACCTACCGTGGAAGAAAAGACTACAGTCCTGAAGTACTGAATGTGTCAACCCATGGCCAAGAATATAGGCAAAGAATTTTTTTTTGTTACTGTTTTTATTGCTTCTTACTTTCTTTGTATGGCATATATCAGATACAACTGGTAAAAATCTGAAAAGATAATTAAACCAATTGAGTTACTTTTGTTTTTTCAGAACCAAATACATTATAAAAAGAATGAAGAAATATTTTATTTTTATTTTCACTTAATAGTCCCAGTTCTTCACTGGCACATACAGTCATTTGTACCTGCATAAAGTGTTCAGAAAGTAACATACCCCTTGACTTTTTGGGCAGTTAAATCTGATGGTATATGAATTTAAACAAGTAAAGGCTATTCTTATGCCTAGAGGATTGCAATAATTCTCCAGAAGCAATGAGTGGCCTGAGGCTAAATGACAAGAAGATATCGTTATGGCATCAGCTAATTGTTTCACAGTCTGCTGTCCAGTAAGGTTTGTAGCTCTGACTGAAGCAGCTCAGCTCCTCATGGAGAAATGGGACGAGTTAGATGACCGTGAGTAAGCTGAGCAAGGAAACATAGCCAGCCAGGTGGAAATCCATAAGAAAAACAGGGCTTCAGGCCTGCCTGTGAAGGAGATAGGCTCTTATATCCACTCCAGGTTACCAACAGCAAACCCTTTCCCAAATCTTTTCTTAGGAAAAGAGAAGAACACCATCTCATAGGATGGCTGGGGCTCTTGCATGAGGCGTTTGAGGCCCATTTTCCAATCTGTATTCTGATATTCTAGTATTCAGAAGGTAGGGTGAGGAGTTTCAAACCCCCTTGATTTGACCTGATCTGGAATCAGAGCTCGAATCTGGGCTTTTCCCATTAGGGTGCCGGGAAGCATTACACTAAATGAAACAGCTTCAGCTGAACAGAGATTTTTCTGAGCAACCCGTTGTCTAAGGGTTAGAGAGTCCTCCTGGTATGCAAGAGCAAGGTCCTCTTCTCTGTGGAAAGCAAGTATCAAGTCTTGTCCTTCCTTGACTGGGAATATGCTTCCCACTACACCAGTGAGGGGCAGTGGCACCTAGCTGCTCGCAGGGCCCACTGTGGGTCTGGTTATCTTTTGGGAAAGGTGGGATTTTGTCACTGTGCAGAGAAGAGAAGCAGGTACCTGTCTCATTTGGGAATACCACAAGGGCAAGCTCCAGCGTCAAGGCTGGAGAGATTTTTCTGCATGACTAGTGAGAGTTGTCTGAGGAGGAGTGGTATTTGATGTGCTTACAATTGCCTGGGTGCTGGAAAGAAGAACCTACTTCCATATGAGGGTTTAAATTCTTTTTTTCAACCTCCCAAACTATGGTTTGTACATATTAGGCAAAAGATTGTAAGTACTTAATATACTGACTGTTTTTTACTTAGTCAAAACTTCTGTCCTACATGCAAATTTTGATATAACAGGTCAGGGTCCACATGACATGTTTCTACCTGCCCCTAACATAGGGCAGCTCTGTTGACCTGATTAATGAAACAGTAGTTCACACGTTTTGTTCTCATACATTAGCATCAGTCAGCTTGCGAATTTTGGATCATCTTTTGCCAGAAGGAATCAACAAAGAACCATAGTAAATACAATATCATAAAGATTCCATTCTGAAAGTTTATAAATGGCCTAATTTCCATCCTTGTAATTTGTCTGAAAATTGACTAGTACTCAGAGATCAAGGGCTGAAAGTTTGGGGAGTAAACACTGTGTTCCTTGGTCAGGAGAAAAAAAAAATTAATCCTTCATGTAAATCCAATGTAACTTTAACTATGAAGTCCCTATGGTGCCTCTATAATACTATGTAAAACCCATGGTATTTCGGCTCATAATGTTGATTTGCGCTGTGTTGCTGGCAATTTTACAGTTTGCTGCTCTCACTATCTTTAATTTGTGGACTGATAAGACTACAGAAGAACAGCATTATTTTGATGTGGGGTGGAGAAAAATATTTTGTAAGCCTGGGAGGGGGAGCGTTTCTGATTCAGATGAGCGTTTCTTTGCTCTGCATAATGGGAGAGGACCTTTTACGTAATTACCGCTGGAAACCCTAAGTGCTTAATTGACATAAAAAAGCCTAATATAGGCATTTTACAGTTTTCCTTTTGATCTTTCATGTGGGTGCATATTGCACATGTAGTTTGAAAAGAATAACTAAAAGGCTGTGATGTGGATATGTGCTAGCATGTGAGGAGGGCTTGTGAGAGTACAGAGTTTGATGCAGCATCAAAGGAAGGGATACACCCATTTCACTTATGAATAAATTGAGCATGTAATTAACACCTGGACTTTACAGAATACTTTTGAAATACAATTAAATCTGCTGCTTTTTTGCAATGAACAGAAGTGTTAAAAGTAAAAATATTGACCCCTGCTGAATTTTGATTTTTGAAGAATATATTTAACTTCATGCACAGGTGGGATTCAAAACGTTAATACCCTTCAAACCATAAAAAGACACTGGGCATCATTCCTTACCTCTGAAGTCAAAGCAGTAAGAGCTTTTTAGAGTTGGTTTGAGTTCTTCATTTTTTAAAAAAAGGAGACAAACTGTATTTTAAGTGTGAGAGGAAACAATCCCAATTAATAAAATGTATCTGTTTTTTCCCGTAGCAACTTATCCAGAAACAAGCTCTCAAGTTTGTCCAAGAAGCCTTTCCGCCATCTGGGTTTGTCTGATCTGTAAGTTGCTTAAAATAACATTTATTTATGGCTAGAAATGGAAGAACAAGACTATGTTAAAGTTAAACGTTCATCAAAGATTAGGAATGAAATTCTCATCCAAAGAAGGCAGCAAAGATGTTGCCCTTGACCTAAGGACACAGAGATTTCATTGCAGGTCTTCAGAAAAAGATCGAGTGTATTTTAACACAGATTTATACGTCAAAGTACCCTCTTCCCTCCAGCTTTAAAATATGATATGTTATTATAAGATTATTTCACACAAAACTACTGATGTTTATATTAAATATTTGGGTTAGTTAAAATACAGCCATCTATAGCTCTTCAGATGAACTCTTATACTGGCCTCACAGCTGCTATGAATATGGTTGGCTATGGAATAGTATTTTTGTTTTCTTGAATTTTTTTGAGTTACCTTTTGCTGTATATAATCATTTGGTAATGAAGTATGTGTAAACATACACTTGTTGATTGTTTCAATATTATATTTTTATTTTGTGCTCTTTCAAGCAGAATTATATATTGGTATGCATTCCAAAGTTGTGTAATCAGAGGGTGAAAACAGGAGACAAGAGGATGTAGCATGTCTGTGTGGCAGATACTGTTGTATCGTATTAATTTGGAGGACTCATAGAAAAGGTAGAGTTTGTGAATGACTTGGCAATGGCGAGGCATTGGCGCAAATAATAATGAAGGCAGAAGTTGTTCTTTTGCATAAGGCTCTGATTACCGGTCCTCCACCCTGACTTCTCTTAGAAGAATTTTTAAGGCCTGGAGCTGTGTTTCCATGTTAAAAATGTAGGAGGGGAAGTGATCTTTTTGTGCAGTCTTTGCTAATAAGGGAAAGCCCACAGGAGCTTTGGCAGAGTTGCGCTGGGGGCAGAGGGAGGCTGCACTCCCAGAGCGCAGAGCAGGATCGGGGCAGCCCAGGAGGGCGCCTCGCAGTCCCGAACTTCTGCTGCACGTTCTTTCTTCAGCGTGTGAGAAATGAAGTGAACTCGTCCCAGTGCCACAGAAAGAGGTTTTGCCCCTTAGGTATGTTTTGTTGATAACTAAGCTGGTGTAATCACTTTCTTGTAAGCCAGAGGAACATCATTTGCTGGAATTTTCTTTCATAATTTGGCGATAACTGCATGCTCATGAAAAGACTAGCTAGGGTCAGAGCACTCCCATTGCTGTCCTCCCCACGTAGGTCTGTTGCCTCTAAAGTCCCACTTTCTTCATATGTAATGTTTAGTCCATGCCAAAAAGCCACTGCTAGTGTGTATTTAACTGTAACTTCTATATTTTATAGTTGTTACCACCTCAAAAAACCAGGGCTATAGAACTTAGACTAGTGCACAGTGTGAATTATTTGGACTTTTCCTAATGTTTCGAAGCAGCTAGTGGAGAAGAGGGGTCATCTTAGCTCTCCCGAGCTTGGGAAGTCTAAGAGTGGGTATGCTCTGGCTTAGGAGGTGTGTTAAAAAGGAAGTGACTGCAATTTTAAAGGCATTTTCTGCTCTCAGTTATGTTGGTGCTTCCTTGCAATTGGTCTGATGCCTTTAACATATTTATTCCAAAGTACAGAACAAGGCATTCTTGAACCTCTGCATCTTAGGTGAGCAGTTTCTTTTAGATTGTGGTTGAAGTGGGTGCTTATGAAATTTTGAAGGAGAACCAAGTCAAATCTGTACATACGTGTTCACTGAGATGATGTAAGAAATTGCCAGTCTTTTTGAAGAAGTTGGTTTGCTCCTGGACAGAAAGAAAGAAAGAAAGAAGGACTTGGGACAGAGAATGACAGAATCAAGCATTGTATATATGTGACAGGAATCATGGGAATGAAGTTTGACAGAGTAGGGTTACAGTGCTTATTGGCAAAACATTTGGCTGACGTGAAATAGGAGAGAATACATTTGTGTTGTTAGTGTAAGAGTTAAACGATGGGCGTTCAGTGTTATGGGAGTAGAAGCTGAGGAAGTGGATACTGGGAGTCACCCAGACATGCGAAAAGGGACGTTGTGAGGATTAAACTGATTAACATTTGAGGCATGGAGGCAATGTGTTATGGGAGCTAAGTTAAGAAAAAGATAGACAGGATGCAGAATTAAGATGGGGTATTGTGGGCTTGGGAAAGA